CATAGAAAATGTGCATAAAAGTCTATACAAATAACCCCGGTATTGTACAGCACTCTCAGGCGGAGAGCATTCAGGGCTCTACCGCCAGAAGTTTTGGAATATATATAGTGCCTCAATAATATATATATATATTTTTATTGCTTGTGTAAATAATTAATAATTATACTAATTTTTAAAAAACTTTAAACTTAATTTATAGATATTCTTTAAATCCTGTTATGGTAATTTTTAAAGCAAACTTTTTGAAGAGATTATTTCAAAAACTCATTTATAAATTGTATAAATCTATTAAGTTTTAAAGTTTAGATAATTGTTTACGTCAGTAATCATGCCATAGATTAATCTTAAGTTAAGGATAAATCTCTCTCTCTCTCTCTCTCTCTCTCTCTCTCTACAAAATAATAGACAATATTAAAGTAATAATTTATTAATTTGAAATACAATATGATATAAGGACTTAAACTACAGAATATGAAAAGGTTTTCAGGTTTGAGGGATAAATAAAAATATATTTCTAAAATTAAATTCTTCGTCTGTTTTGATGTATTGATGATTTGATGAAAGAACTGAAAATGCAAATCAAGTCTTGAGTTTATCAGATCTGACGGCTTCTTCATAAGTCGGCGGTGAGTCGAAGTGATAGTTGCGCTCATTTGAGGCGAACGTGTCTTCAATAGACACTAAATCGACGACAAAGTCATCGCAGTTCTCGAAGAAGAATTCGATCTGATCTGTGGTCCGCTCGATGTCTGTCAGCAGACGCTCTTCAGTGTTAGTTAGTGTCAAGTCATCAAAAGAGGTCTCATTAATGGACTGAAGAATATCGCTCTCATACTCCAAGTCATTGTCAGAGATTTTGTTGGAATTGGATCCAAAAGTGGCCAAAATTAAGACAATTATGAATATAATGGCCGCAGAAAAGACCAGTAGTGAGAACTCGTATAATGTGGTGACCATTGATGGCAATTGCATGTTATTGGACATCGCATACGAACCGATCAGTATTAATATGATGTAAATGGGAATCACAACAACACAGCACCGGAATAATAGGTAGGAATACCACAGATTCTCGACTGTCTTCTGGGTTCTGCTCAAGTATTTCATGTTTGCCATCATTTCAAAGAAACACTTTTTCTAAATTTTAATTATTTATTCACTATTTAATAATATGAGCACAATATACACCAATTTGTGTTTATAATAAGAATATTGATTATAAAATGATTTCCAAAACTTCGTTGAGTTTGAATGTTTGGGCGTAACTTCTTATAGGTTTCCATATAAGTTAAGCCCTATTTGTAAGCCATTTATTCTGGATTCTTGAACTACAATATTAAACACTGACTAGTGATTTGCACTGTATATTTTCAATAAAAAGTATTTTTGTTCAATATACTGTATCATGCATAGCTTAGTATATAATTTATTTGTACTGTATTATTCAAGAATTTTAAATGAACTGTCAAAATTTTTAACTTAATTCAAAATAAATAGTTATTCTTAAAACACGAAAATATATGAAGTAATCATATAAATGTTTATTCAATCTTTGGTTGTGTAATACAGTAAAATAAATACTTTAAAACATAATATTATTTTATACTCTGCATAATAGGAATCTTTTAAAATATATTAAACACTTTAAAATAAATATAAAATTACATATTAAGTTACACAAACTATTAATTGTCAGAAATTTTAAATAACTGTTTATAATATGTGACCAATTGGTCGAGTCCTGAATTCTCAAGAGTTTTAGAATACATATCAAAAATCTCTTTTAAAATAACTTTATTTTCTTCGACACAAATAAGTTGTCGTTTAATACAAAGTCCCGCAAATAGTACCGCCCTTTCGATGTCGAATTTATGCAGAGTTTGAATGGCTTTCATATATTGTTTCAATGATATGAACGCAATGACAGCTGTCTTATAGTTGTGCTGCGAAATGAGGTGTTCGGCCCACCGGCGCATTATCTCCGTATACTCCTCACCTTCAAGTGTGCACTAAATTCACACAATTATTCAATCATTTAGTTTTCTTTGCGTACAAATCACTTACTTTTGCCAAACAAATCGATTCCAACCACTTATTAGCGCTCTGAAGATAACGACAGGCGTCCTGTGTTTTGCCGATCAGACACAACAGCTGAGAGCCGTCGCCCACCTTTCCATTGGCTATCAAATTAGTTGCCACTAACTGTTTGGACAAATGCATGTCAAAATGCAAATCAATGAATGTTTGTATACAATGACTAACTTTGATGACCGGATGAGCTGCAGAATCATTAGATTGAAGTGAAGCGATGAGACAAGCCTTCAAAGCGTCCACATAATAGTCAGTCATCGAAGAATCACTTTCCAGAAGCAACTGAACCGCTCGTTGCGGTTGATTCAGGAGGAGAAGCATTTCATATAAAATTTTGTTTTGATTATAATTACTCCGAAATGAGTCCAATAGTGAGACCCTTTCAAACTGAATGTCTTTATATGTGTGGTTCTTAAGGAATAAATCGTGGTTTCGATCCAATCTTTCCTTATTGTCACACAAAACATATGAAACAATATTCCAAAAGTGAAAGCTTTCGCAATCATTAAACAGTTTTGAAATCAATATATTTCTCTCGATCTCACAATCGGGTAGTTTTGGTCCACCGGTCCATTGGTTTAGGAATAGTTTGGACTTAAATATGAATCGAGACATTGAAGACAACAAATAAAAGTTCATTGATTTCAAGTCGATGTCTTGGGAATCTGTTTGATTGACCACTAGTTCAGACATTGAGGACGAGTATTGTCTGAGTTTCATATCGGTCACAAAAAGGCTGCCTTCGGAAGTGCACAAAATGGGTCGATCACTGGCCGCCCAATCAATGTCCACAATCTTGAAGCTCACATCCCGAGGATGTTTTAATTGTGCGCTTAATTTAAAGTCTTTTGTGTCCCAAATATCGACGCCATCATTGTATTGCATTAAGAACTTCATGTTTCCCCTCCCGGGGCCGAACCTGATCTTCTTGATGGGCCCGCGATGTGTCGGTTCGATGCGCGACACCTTCTTCTTGAGGTCCCACACGTTAAGATTGCCGACGGCGTCGCCCAACAGCACCTGATCGCTCTTCCATGCAATGCATGTGATGTTTGCACTCATTTCGGTGTCCGGAGGAATACAAGTGATTTCTTTCACTACATTACCCTCAATGGAGAAGTGATATAACTCTCCGGTGCTGTTCGTCACCACAAAGTTCTCTTTGGAGTGCAAAGAAGTGACGGAATTGTTTGGACTCTCAATGCGCTTATTATAGAGAGGACTCCACTCTATGGCCGTAACACCAGAGAACTGTTTCGGCATAACTCGAAGCAGTGATAAACTCTTTAAGTCCCAGATCTCAAAGGGATCGTCTTTGAAGGAAATGATGAGATACTGCTTTAAGTGCGATATTCTCAACGACTCGATGGGAGACGAGTCCATATTCCTCTCAGTTCTCATCGGATAAGTCGTTCCCGAATTAACTTCAGTTATATTCAACTCATTGTTAGTCTTTCCTGAATGTGGAGATATGTTTGGATAAGCGTATGATATGAACGCATCCAAACCCGTCCACTCCAGGCCTCTCACTGGAAACGAATGGATTCCCAGCTCTTTGTCGAGCGATGAAAGCGACAGATTCCAGATCTGAACGCTTCCACTGGAGTCGCCCACAGCTAACAGAGGCTTCAAAATACAAATGCATTCATTAAAAGCTTATAATACTTATACAGTAATTAAATATAGGACTCACTCTATGGAACTGCCAGTTCCTCATCGTTACGGGCGGACACATACGGATCACATGAGGACTGAAATTAAGTGCTGAAGACATTTGAGTCATTAAAATGCGATATGTCTTACATTTCTTATCGCTCGCAAGATATTCATCTGTAGTAATGATATCATAAATGAAAGGCAAAGATATCAACTCATAGTTAGGTTTAGTCCCAATTTTATGCACTTTTTTGATGACTATTCTGCCGTTATTTAGCAGAAGAGCTACTTTTGTCTCATCAGTTGGCGACAAAGAATAGCCAAATATCTTGTTTTGTTTGGTAAGTCTTAAACCGTCGGACTGACAGAGGTTTGCATAAGAGATGATAACATTATCTGTGCCTTCGTTTGCGTCGTTTACCACTTGTTTCTGAAATAATCGCAACGAAACAGTTCCGAAGTCGTGACAAACGAAGAATGCATTTCGGTTTCGACACGAAAACACATTCGTAATGTTGGAACAGTTCCTCTCGAGTGGCACACAACAGATGATGGCTTCGATCGACAAATCAATTACTAGTATTTGACGACTGATTGCCAGCAATACTTGATTGCGAACAGCTTTGTGGTGACAAATCTGAATCCAATCACTCAATGCATTAGAATCGCTCGAAACAACTCTTTCTGTCAAAAGAGTATATTTCGGAACAGAAGACACACTTTTAGGCGAACTCTTTGTCGGATTGGAGACAACGGAGTAGTATTTGACTGATCTGTTGGGCGAACCGTTAGGTCTGAGGTCATCGATAGTCGCGAAACAACAGTCTTTCGCTTGAATGGCAAAGAGGACATTGTTTCTGCAGAACGGGTCCATAGATATGCTTTTGATGGTTATATCGAAATGTTTGGTCCAAACTATTTCGCCGAACTCTGTGTCCAATAAAACTAAACCATTATTTCGGTTCAAAACGAGTAAATAGTTTTGCAAACTATTGTCCGGAGTCTTCAACTCAATCCATTCAATTGTCTCCACGTTTTTGAGCTCTTTGTTGGCAGTGATGAGTGTCAGGACAGACCCTTCGTTCACATCCCATACAATGATTGTCCCGTTTGTGTCGACCGAACATAACTTGAGATCAGTTGAAGGACACCATCGGATGAGACACACCGACGAGTTGTGTCTGTGAAGGCCTG